GTGAAATAGGTAGTATTATTATACACATCTTCTGTCAAGGAAATGGAGGTTAAGTAAATTTCTCCTGGGTGTATGTGGAGAGCAAGGGTTCCAGAGTGGGTCACCTGGCTCCAGTCTGCCATCTGAACTTGCTGTACTGTCGTGTCAGCTCCTTCCATCTGGCTATTTACAAGGACCTAAGACCTGTCCTCTAGGAAGTACAGTATCTGAAGATCATCTTTGGCTTTTCCTTCTAGAATACTCACTGGCAGGGCAGGGGCAAGCTCTGGAGCATGCAAGGTAGTGCTGAAATGAATGAAGAGAACAAAAAGGGGAGAATCTTCAGTACTCCAAAGACAGAAGTTTCTTATTTTACATTTTTCTCTTAGATAACAAATGTTTTCTCTGGTCTTGGTGACATCACTATTTATTAGATAGGCTATACTGAGATAACCAATATAGCTTGGTGACTTAGCACAGGGCTATTTCTCTCTAATGCAAGGTTTGATGAGTGCTCATGGGGACTGTCCTCTATGCAGTGACTCAGGGATCTAAAATCCCTTGGTCTTGTGACACATCCATGTCAACATGTGGCTTCCAAGGTCTCTGCTGCCAGGGAATGAGAAGGATGGGGAAAGTCTAATGGCTTTTAACTGCTCTGTACAAGAAGTGACCGTGGTAACCAGCATGCCACAGCCCATTGGCTAGAATAGGTTTCATGGCACCGGCCTAGGGGAAGTGAAGCTAAGAAATGAAGAGCAGCTCTTGGAATAAGCTGGGAATTTTGGTGCATACTCCCTCTGCCACGGTGAACAAATGCATTGAGTTGATATACATTTAGCAGACGGCATAAAACTGGCTTGATCAATTTTTGACACTCTAATCAATTCCTGAAGATAATTCTGGAAATAGGAGCCATTGGACTAATTTGAATACACCATATTTTTTTTTCCTTCCTAACCTCTGATCCAATGGGGAAAAGCTGGATATTTGCCAATCAAAAGATGTTCACATTTCATTACTGCTTAAAGAAAGAAGCATAGATTCTCTACTCTCAGCACATTTATGTTGTTCCATGGACCACATTGACTTGAAACACAGGTTGTGCAGAGAAAACAAAATAGTTTAGCCAAAGAAACTCTAGCTATTCATGGACTAGGGCGTTTTACTCAATGACTAGACAGTCTTATTACTGGCAGGTATAATTATGATGGCTGCTAGTGTGTGGTTTGTCTTGACTTCCAGATCTGTGGTAAGATTCTCGTTGTGTGTGCTATTTTGCAGACAGCGAACATGTTTTACATCGTGATCATGATGGCTATAGTCCTGCTGAGTTTCGGAGTGGCGCGCAAGGCCATCCTGTCACCAAATGAGACGCCGTCTTGGAGCCTAGCCCGAGATATTGTATTTGAGCCATACTGGATGATATATGGAGAAGTCTATGCTGGAGAGATAGATGGTGCGTAGGGGATTTTGCCATCATGCAGAAATTGCACCTTTTAGATACTCAGAGTAATTAAAAAAAATCTGCAAAACAATCATCTGAATCTTAAATATGTATAAAATGTGTGGTATTTTGCACAGTTAATGTGCTAAATGTTTGTCTAGAGTCCTAGGACTGTGATTCACCTCACCCCCGTTCTGATTCTTTACTTGCAGTTTGTGAAAGCGACCCGTCTTGCCCGCCCGGATCTTTTCTTACTCCGTTCCTGCAAGCTGTCTACCTCTTTGTGCAATATATCATCATGGTGAACCTGCTGATTGCTTTCTTCAAGTAGGTTACTTTAATTAAATATAACTATCTTATTTAAATAAAACATGGGGCGGGCCAGACATATTGAGTAGATTCACATGTATTTCGAGTATGTAACCTTTGGTTTTCGTGTGTTCCATGTTTTATAATTTCGGTTTTAAGATATGGGCACAAAACTTGGTAATAAGAAAGCAGAGCATAGGAAGCAATGAAGTAATAAACTCAGTCATCCATCTGTACCCATGGGGATTGGTTCCAGGATCCCCCACAGACACCCAAATCCATGGATGCTCAAGTCCTTCATATTAATATAAGATGGTGTAGTA